CTGAGTTATCCTTTTAGATTTGACTTGAAAGACGATTATTTATAATTTATAATTCAACTCACCGCGACCAAACCCGAAATTTTAAAAGAATTTATAAATCAGAAGGAAAATTTATGCAACTACAACAAAGAAATCACGTAAAAACTAAAGGCTAACAGAACTTTCATGCAGTTGTAAATAAGCTAAATTCATATAGACAAGCTCACACAGTATTTTTGAATAAGATAGAAACCGTAGCCAATCACCACCAGTTTCATAATTGAAAGCCTCTTGTTCCTTACGAAGTTTCCACCCGCAATCTTGCTCTTCATACCTTGGTGTTTTAAGCTAGGCTCGATGCTAGAAGTTTTAGAGCTACATTGACCTCATGTGCAAATCGTTAATTCCCCGTTGAAATTTAAATACAAATGCATGGGAGGTAAACGGCTCTATTTTAAAAAAAAGTGCCAAGATGTTAAAATTATCAGGTGATAGCTGTCGAGTAGACTAGCAATGAAATAGCATCTTAAATTCATCTTCATTTCCCCCCCCCCCTCCCCCCTCCACCCCCGCCAAAAAAGATTCTTTTCTTTAAAAGCAATTGCGTAATTCTAGCGTGAGGTTGGGTCAGCGATGCCGAATTGCACTGTAGGCGCGTGCTGGGCCAATAAAAGAAGAGATAGCGTCCTAATCCAGTCCCATAGTTTAAAGTTTTGTTCCGTTTTCGTATTTTACATTCCTAATGCAAAACAAAGAACTTTGACCAACCTAGACCAGCCGCAATAAGATTGTCACTGTTACAATCCAAGCACTCTACGGGCGAGAATGCGTACATAGACCTCTTGATTTGACCTGGAAAAGGACGAAAAAGAGACAGAAAAACGATTGAGTTTCATTACGCAAGAACCGAGAATAATTACGGCAGTCATTGAATGAATGGAAATAAGAGCTAAACTTACGAAAAAGCAGCATTTTATGGTTAAAACATCAGTTGGATCGCATGTCCTTTTTTATAAAGGAGAATGATGCTTTGAAATGTTTCTGACGTCCGGTTATAGCTTTTAAAATCGTTTAAGGGTACTAATTCCCAAGAAACTCGTGGTTTAAAAAATGAAGAGCTTTCTTGTATACAAACAAATACTGGTAAAACAAGATGTAAATATGTCACACGATACTCCCACCATGTCAACACAAGCACGAGTTAACGTGACTCAGTTGCAACCAAGCGTGACGTACTGTCAAGGAAAAACAAAGTCACGTTGCAACACCTCGTTGTCACGTTTTTGACAGCCACGTGCCAATAAGAGAGTGACAACATGGTAAAAAATTATGCGACATACGTCACAATGTTTTGGAAGGTTTCTTAGAGTCAAAGTGTGTGTATTTTCTGTTTTTGTTTTCTGTTTTGTTTTGTTTGTTTTTTTGTTTGTATCTTTGTTTGTTTGTTTTTTTTTCTTTTTCCTTTTTTTCTGGGGAGGGATGGGGGACAATATTCCCACAGCTTTATAAATCTATGGAACCTAGGAGGTGGAGATATTACTGAACCGATTTTTCGCCCCATGTAAGTCTTGGATCCTAGATTCCACGTTGTGGATTTCCGATTCCCGATTCCGGTTTCCAGGCTCTTGCATTTCCGGATTCCTTTGGCTGTATTCTGGATTCCAAAGCCCAAGATTCTGGATTCCATAGGCAAAAATTCCCCGAAATCCGGATTCCGGATTCCCTTACTGTAGACCTAGATTTTGCTCTTACCGTTTGCAAGAGACCAGATTTTCATGGAGCAGTCTTTTGAGCCCGTAAGCACAGAGTACTGGTCTGTTCGAAAACTGGAGGGTACAGCTAAGAGAAAGAACAAACAACAGTTTTTAACGTAACGCAGAATGGTCCAATGATATACTAAACGTCGGATAAAGGTGTTCAAACGGATTCAATAAGGACTATAAGATCCATCAACGCGACGACAACGAGAACCGGTAACAAACAACAGGTTTAATATACGCAAAACAACAACTTCGCACGTGCATCACACCTTTTTGTTTTGTACATTTCTTTGCCGTTTTTGCACTACTATGACGTGAAAATGCCTAATTTCGCGTTTTATGGAGAACGTAAACAAGCAAAGACGAAATTTTATTTCTCTTTCTGAACTTGGATATGATCCCTTGGAATTCAACTTCAGGAGGGTTCACGCACATTTGACAAAGTAAGTGGGTAGGAATGATCCCTATAAAGACTAAAAGAAGGCAAATTCAGTTTTAAAGCGACGTTCTCGTAGCCGTCGCGTCTTTAAATCTTTAAAGCAACAACAAACTCAAAAGTCCAAGAAGGGAAAAAGTTCTAAATCTGTATAAGTCTTTGAAAGAAACCCTGAGGAAGTCTCTTCGGAATTTAATTTCACATCACACACATTGCTTTATCGGTTTAAAACATGAAGACGTCCGAATGAATTGGCTAAAAAATTGAGTAATACTCACCACTGGCAGACATTTCCATATTTGGTACCAGAAGCACGGATGTTATAGTTCCCGTATGTCCTCCCATGCTCCTCATCTCTCGTCCAGTGTCGGCATCCCATAATTTGAGCATGGTGTCCCGGCTGTGAAAGAATTCAGAAGTGAAGAACTGTTATTACAGGTTATGCGTAAAAACAAACCTCTGCCGCCGCAGTCATCCAACAATTACTGAATTAACCTCTACAGAAATCTACAAATACGCAAACAAACTAGCCTTCGAAAACAGTACGGAATTTTTGTCGCTGGGTTGGGTGCAGGTCAATCGCTGAGTCGCAGACTTTCTTCCTCGCGAAACGTCCCCAGCGACGAGGAGAGAGGGAAAACGGCTGTTTTCGCGGGATAAAACAATTTTATTTATATTTAGCTTGAAATAACAGGTCACTATGAGGCTAAGAGGAATAAAACCCCACAAAACTATTATAGCCTATTTCCCCAGCGCCTCAAGCTGCAGTCTATCGTTGTGGCCAAAAGTTAAACAAATTTTTATCTCATGAAACCCGATCAACTGCCTTGAGTCCAGTCGACAAAGCGAGAGGGTCCTGGACACCAGTGAAGTAAGATGCGCAGGGTATTGTGGGAAGGGCAGACAAATCTATCTTGACCGGTGAGTTTGTCTGGCAAGATTTTAAAAACTGCTTAGTAACAGCTCAGAAATAAACGCTAAATGGTAATTAATGCAAAAAAGTCCTTGATATATTTTTTGATGTTTACATTCAAAACTAGATGAATTCCTCTTAACCGTAAAAAATAACACACAAAGTGTAAAATATGACAATAAAATATCCATTACTAAGCAAAGAATTTGAAGGGGGAGGAAGTTATAATAGTGCTAATGAATAAGCTTAGAAAAAGCTTTAATTGTATGACATTAAAGACATAAGTGACATAGAAAGTTGAAATAAAAGCCCGTTTATGATTCCCCAAAACTGCGAAAAATTAAAATAAAAAA